CTTGGGCGTCTTGGAGGCTGGAGGCCTCTGGCTCGTGGAGGACCTCTTGGAGGCCTCTTGGGCCGTCTTGGAGGCCTCTTGGAGGCCTCTGGGGCCGTCTTGGGCCGTCTGAGAGGTTGCTTGTGCGAACTTGGAGGCATCTTGGACTCTCCTGGGCCGTCTTGGAGGCCATGTCGGACCATCTTGGGCGAACCTGGAGGCCATCTTGGCCATCTTGGAAGCCACCTTGGAGGCATCTGGAGCAGGAAACTCTTTTGGAACCACCCTTTCCGAACCACCCTTTCCGGGCCATTCCGGGACACTGGCGGGCGGGGCCGAAACCCAGGGAGAGTTCTTTTAGAAAAAGAACCAAGACCAAAAGCGAAAGGATTCAGCACGCCGGGCACCCCTGTGATAAATCAACAGGGGGCAGCGGATCCAGATCGAAGACGCCTACGGCGAATCACCGCCGCCCCCTGCCTTTTTGGAAACGCCGATGTGGCCGAAAGTTGGACTAGAGCTTGGCCAAGCTATCGGACCATGAGTTCCCCGAGTCGGTTTGGAAAGCTTTCGGGGAACACATGGGAGAAAATGATTATGAACAGGAAGAGGAAGAGGAAGAAATAGAGTAGGAGGATGAGGGTTGTTAGGAGTCTCTTGGGGCACCCTTGGGGTCTGTTGGGGGCTTCTTGGGGGCCTCTTCGAGGCCTCTTGGAGGCATCTTGGGGCCTCCTTGGGCCTCTTGGGGGCCTTTGGGGGCTTCCTGGGGGTCTCTTTGGCCCGGTTTCTAAGGGGCGTTTCCCTGGTCCGGTCAATGGACGCCGTTCTGGAAGCGGAAAACAGCCGGCTTGGGGGGCCTATCTGCGGCCGTTTGGGATGCGGGCCCTCTTGGGGCGCTCAGGGCCGTCTTTGGGAGGCCCGTTGGGCCGTCCTTGGAAGGCCTCTTCTCTTGGCGCCGTTTCCGTCTCGGTTGCAGAACTTCTTGCGCGGCAAGTCTTTGCCCGGCCATCTTGGGCCGTTCATAGGGCATTCTTGGAGGCCCTCTTGGAGCGATTTGGGGGCCTTTTGGGCCTTACGTCGGAAGCCGACCGACCGAAAAGAATGAAAACGCAAAAAAAAAAAAAAACCTTCAAAAACCTAAGGAAAACCAATGATTTTGGCCTATTCGGGCTCTCCTGGAGAACGTCTTGGAGGCCTCTTGGGCCATCTTGGAGGCATCTTGGGGCCATCTTGGCCGTCTTGGAGGGCATCTTGGGCCGTCTTGGAGGCATATTGGAGCCATCTTACCCGTCTTGGAGGCCATCTTGGCCGTCTGGGAGGCATCTTGGAGGCCATCTTGGGCCATCTTGGCCGTCTTGGAGGCCATCTTGGGCCAAGTTGGGGCAACAAAGGCATTGACAGACGGATTTTGGGAAAATTACGGGTGGCCGGCGGGACGGGCCGAAGCCCACTGGGGAGTTTTCTTTAGAAAAGAACCAAAACCAAAAACCTGAATGGTCAGCAACCGCCGTGCACCCCTGTGGCAAGACCACAGGGGGTCGGCGGATCGAAGACGACTTTTTTTTTTTTTTTTTCTTTTAACGGCGAGGCGACGACGAATCACCGGCCGGTCCCCCCCCCCCCCCCCCCCCTGCTTTTTTTTCGGGAGCCTGCCTTTTTATGTGGCCGAACGTTGAGGCCAGACCTGCCAAGCTATCGGACCACGTGTTCCCCGAATCGGTTTGGAAAGCCTTCGGGGAAAACGTGGGCATCTTGAAGGTCATCTTGGCCGTCTTGGAGGCCTCTTGGGCAAGCTTTGGGCGATCTTTGGGGCTTTTTGGGCCGTCTCGGGCCAGCTTCGAGCCAACTTCGGCCATCTTGGTGGGTTCCTGGCACGTCTGAAGCCGTCGGAAGCCGTTTTGGGGGCCTCTATGGGCCGACTTGGGGCCCGCTTGGAATGCTCCAGGGCCGTCTTGGAGGCCATCTTGGGCGTCTGGGAGGCCATCTTGGGCGTGTTGGAGGCCTCTTGGGCCCTCTTGGGGCCCTCTAGGGGCCATCTTGGAGGCCACTTGGGCCATCATGGGGCTCTCTTGGGGGCCTCTTGGGCGATCTTGGGGGCTTCTTGGGCCGTCTTGAGACGTCGGAGAGCCGAAAAGGCGCAAATGCCAAAATCCTTCAAAAACCAATGGAAAATCAATGATTTTGGCCTCTTCGGACTCTCCTGGAGGACCTCTTGGAGGCCTCTTGGGCCGTCTGGGAGGCCTCTGGGGGGGCCTCTTGGGCCGTCTTGGGCCGTCTTGGACTCTCTTGGGCCGTTTTGGAGGCCGTCTTGGACCATCTCGGGCGGACTTGGAGGCCATCTTGGGCCATCTTCGCGATTTTTTGAGGACGTCCCGAGCGAAACGGCCGTTTTTGGCAATGACAGGTGGATTTTGGGAAATTTGCGGGTGGCCGGCGGGACGGGCCGAAGCCCACTGGGGAGTTCTTTTAGAAAAAGAACCAAAACCAAAACCTGAATCATCCAGCACGCCGTGCACCCCTGTGGCAAGACCACAGGGGGCGGCGGATCCTAGTGGCCTTCGGCCCATCCCGCCACCGTGTCTAGGTTGTGGGTCTGAGGCCTCTTGTATATGTGTTGGGTTGTCGTGGAGAGCCTCTCGGGGGCCTCTTGGAGGCGGTTTCGGCGCCTCTTGGGGGCCTCTCGGGGCCTCGTGGAGTATCTTTTGGGCCTCTTGGAAGCCTCTTTGGCGCGCCTTGGGCGCCTCTTGGGGGCTCCTGGGGCTTCTCGGGGCTCGGGACGCTTCTTAAGTCATCTTGGAGCCCTCTCGGGCCTTCTTGAGGCCCTCTTGGAGGCGTCTTGGGCTGTCTTGGGGCGCTTCTTGAGCTATGTTTGAGCGTCGGAAAGCCGAAAATGCAAGAATCCCAAACTCCTTCAAAAACTGTTGTAACATCGACGATACTGGCATCTTGGGGCTTCGGGATGCCTCTTGGAGCGCTCTTGGGGCCGCTTGGGGCCCTCTGGCGCCGTCTGGGAATTATCTCTGGGTGGCTTGGAGCATTCTTGGCCTCGGCAATAATCTGGTCGAATTTGCGAAGGTTGATTGCCACGTGGACGCGACTATTGAATAATTTACGCGGTTTTGTTGCACTTTGCAAGGGTTTGTGGCCTCGGGGGCGCGAAACTGGGGTAATCTACATTGGCTTCGGGGACGCGACTTTTGAACAATTTGCGAGGGTTTGTGGCTTCGGTGACGCGAATATTGTATCCTCTGCGAAGGATTCTGGCTTCGGGGACGCGAATATCATGTAATTTACAAGGGCTTGTCGCCTCGGAGACGCAACACTTGAGTTATGTATTCGGATTTGCCGCCTCGAGGGCACAATAATCGCATACTTTGAGAAGGTTAATGGCTTCGGGGACCCGGACATTGCATAGTTTCGATAGTTTGTTGCTTGGGGGACGGAATAATAGTATTTGTTTGCAAGGGTTGCTTGCCTCGGGGACGCGAACATGGTATAATTTACAAGGGATCGTTGCCTTGGGGGCGCAACTGTGGTGTAATGTTTGGTGGGTCGTGGCCCCAGAGGCGCGAATATAGTGTAAGTTTCGGAAGACCGTGGCCTCGGGGGCGCGACTATGGCGTATCGTACAAAGGATGGGGACGCGACTGTGGCGCAATTTGCGAGGGACGCGAATGCGGTGTATTTAAGGATCGTGGTGTCGCGGACGCGAATGTTTCGCAACTTATTAGGGATCGTGGCCTCGGGGGTGCGAATACAGCGTAATTTACAAGGCATGATTGCGTTGGGAGCGCGAGACCGATGTATTTTTACGTGTCCCAGGGCCCCGCAGGAATTCAGAGCACGCGATTCGTGGATGGTAGCCGCACGCTTTTCAGCTCCCCCCCCCCCGCGTGGACTTCAACAATTTACAGTAGGAACCAGAAAGCAGGATTGTAGCATTGGAGTCTGGAAACTGGAAATGGTGCAGGGTACTGAAACCTGACCCTCGCAGCCTGGATGGCCCCACAAGGGGGCCGGCGGATTTCCTCTTCTCCTTTATTAGCTTATCTTACCTTCTCGTTTCCTCACATATCTTCTCTTATCTTCACATATCTTCTTTTCTCTTCTCTTTATATTATCTTATCTTCTCTTCTCTTATCCTCTCTTCTCTCCTCTCACATTAGATATGTATATTGCGTTTGTGTTGTATTGTATGTTCTTACTGTCGCTTCTCTTATCGTCTCTTCACTTGTATTATCATATATTATCCTCTCCTCTGGTATGTTGTATTATACTGTAGTATATTATATATATATATATATATATTTCTTCTCGTATCTTAGATTCGATTATCTTCTCTTTACTTCTCTCATTTGTTTATCCTCTCTGCTCTTCTCGTTTAATTTCCTCATATTATCTTATCCTCGCTTCACTTCTCTCATATTGTACTTGTCTCTGGTGTGTTCGTTGTATTATATGTTATTTCAGTCGCTTCTCTTATCGTCTCTTCATTTTCATTGTCATCCCTTCTCCTCTATTATATTATATTATATATATATATTATAGTATATCCTATTCTATTTTCTTTTCTCATTTGTTCATGGTATATTATATTAGCTTCGTGTTTCCTTCTAGTATAGTATCATTGCTTCTCGTCTGTTCTGTCCTATATTATAGTATGTTCGTTTCTCTTATGGTCTCGTCTATTCCTTCGCTTCGCTTCGCTTCTCGTCTTTCTTTCTCTTCTCTAATAGTATAGCCTCTTCTCTGCTCTTCTCTTCCCTTCTCCTGTCTTCTCCTCTCCTCTCTTCTCGCCTCTTCTCTTCTCTTCTCTTCTCTTCTCTTTCCTCTCCTCTCCTCTCCTCTCCCTCTCCTCTCACTCTCCTCCCTCCTTCCTCCTCCTCTCCTCTCCTCTCCTCCTCCTCCTCCTCTCCTCTCCCCTCCTCCTTCCCCTCTCCTCCTCCTCTCCTCTCCTACTCCCTCCTACCTCTCTCCTCTCCTCTCACTCTCCTATCCTCCCCTCTCTCTCCTCTCCTCTCCTCTCCTCTCCTCTCCTCTCCTCTCCTCTCCTCTCCTCTCCTCCTCCACGGTCCCCTGTGATTTGTTGTGCTGTTGCTCCGACCTGTCCCTGGCAAAGGTGATCCGGCAGGGGGAATGGGCACCCGTGACACGCCGCCGCTGGCAGCCCGCCACCGTTCATATTCTCACTCGCCACTCTTCCGAAGGCCCGCCGTCTCCTCATCCAGCACGCTGGGGGGTTCCCCGCGACAGCGTGCCGTGACTGCTGCTTTCTTGCCCCCCGAGTGGTTGCGAAGGCCGTGCGGCCGGTGCCGCCGACCCTGAGGTTGGGGAGGGAGGGCGCGGACGAGCGCTCGGCTGGAGGGGGGGTTGGAGTCGCGACGAGACGGGCTCGCGGCGACGGCTGGGATGCTCCGGGGAGGAGGGCGCGGAGCATGGGGAGGAAGATGAGGAGGGGGAGGAGGAGGAAGAGGTGGATGAGGAGGAGTAGGAGCACAGGGGGGGAATGAAGTAGGAGGAGAGTGAGGCAAGCAGGGTCGCATGTACAGGCGGAGGGGGGGGACACGAAGGAAGGGCAGGGGCGAGTAGAGCGTGGCGATCCCCGAGTTATTTACACGATCGGTGTACCCGCCAGTCTTGTGCTTTCACGCCGTGCTGGCAGCCTCGCCGCGGTGGGACTCGACGGTCGCCTGCAGAACTCACGAGGCGACGGCCAGATCTGCGCAAGTACTGCAGCGAGGGGGCCACGGGTCTTGCGTAATACATGCCGTTATGTTGTCTTTGCGGCGACGACTCCGGAAGGAAGGCTGGTTCACAATTATGGGTCGCAGGATCGGGATGAGGGGCAGGGGGTGGAGAAAAAAGGAGGGTGGGGAGGGCGGAGGAAAAGGAGGAGGAAGAGGAGGAAGAGGAGGAGGAGGAGGAGGAAGAGCAGGATGATGCGGAGGAGGAGGAAAAGGAGGAGGCGGAGGAGGAGGAGGGGAAGGAGGAGCAGGAACAGGCGGAAGAGGAGGAGGATGAGGAGGGGGAGGAGGAGGAGGAACAGGAAAGGACAATATTATGGTGCTAATGGTTCTTGTGGTGGTGATGAGGAAACACGGATTCCTCCATACCTGGTCGCCGTTCGCCTCCTCGTCTTCCTTCGTCCCCCACTCTAAGCCCTCCCTCCTTCCTCCCTGCTTCCTCATCCCTCCTTCTCTCCTTGTCTCGGCTGGCTAACCCGCAATCGGTCCGCTCAATATCAATGTCCTGTCCCTCCTCCCTTCCAGGTTCCTTTCCCCCTCCTCTTTCCTCCTTGCTCTTTTTATCCTTCTTCTCCTCTTCCTATTCCACCTCCCCCTCCTGAGCTCTTCTTTTGCCGCGGCCTGGCCGTCCGGCGATAGCGGTGGCCACCTTTGATTATTACTCTGAGATGTTGGGCCTCCCCGCTTGTCCCTCCTACCATCATCCTTCTTCTCCCTCATCCCTTCTCTTTCCGCCCTCCTCCCTCCTCCCTTCGTACTTCTCCCTTCCCTCTCCTCTCTTTCGCACTCCTTCTTTTTTCGTCCTCCGCCATCCCTCCCTTCTCCCTTGCCGCCGCCGCCCTCCTCCTCCTCCTCCTCCTCCTCCTCCTCCTCCTCATTATCCTCCTCCTCCTCCTCCGCCTCCTCCTCCTCGTCGACCTTGTCCCCCTCGTCCTCCTCGTCCTCGTCGTCGTCCTCCTCCTCCTCCTCCTCCTTCTCCTCCTCCTCCTCCTCCTCCTCCTCCTCCTCCTCCTCCTCCTCCTCCCCCTCCCTCCCTCCGCTGGTTCGGCATCGACGCAGGCACTCGTGTTCTAACACGTTCGTGTGTCCCACCCCTCTGACCCGTGTAGCCACGCGGCTCAGGGGGGCACGGTAGTTTTTTTGTCGAACGGGTGGGCTAGGGAGCATTTGGGGCTGCGCTCGACAACCCTCCTCGTCTTGGCGTCCTGGTGCTTTTAGATCCGGACGGGGGCTGGATCGCAGCCTTCCCTATGCGGAACCCGTCTTATGGGGCCAACACATAGACCACCACCACAACCACCTCCCTCACCCCCTCCCTCTCCGAGGAAAGAGGATAGGCATAGGAGGGTAGGGGATGGAGGAGGAATGTAGGTGGTGTTGGTTGTGGTGGTGTTCGTGGTGGTGGTGGTGGTGGTGATGTGTAGAGCTCGCTCCTGAAGGATTAGCGGTACGAACAATGCCGACACGTTTGTATGCATCCGTATGCGTATTTGCTCAAGTTTTTTAGCGGCGGATCCTCTCCTCGCCGTGCATGCTTCCCGGCCCCGCGGCCACCCTTCAAGGGATTCCGATCGGGGAGAACCTGAGAGCGGGGGCTTGGAAGGGGGGCGGACCTGTTCGCCCAGTGCCTGGCCTTCTCGCACGGAGTGCCGTCCTGCCCAGACTGCAGGCTGAGACGCCCAGGGGCCAATCTCACGCGCCCCACGTGCGCGGTGGCCAACCTCACCTGCCCCGCCACGGTGGTGCAGCTCGCGTGCCCGCTGCCGCCCGTCGTCGACGCCTCGTGCACGACTGTGTGCCCCTTGCAGGCCGAGGGCAGCGTCCTCGGCTTCGACGTGGTATCGCTCGTCGTCGGGAGCGTCGCTGGACTGGGGGGGGCGTGAGGCTGCCGGCTCAGCTTTGTGTCGCCGTCGGCGCCGCTTGGGCCAGGAGGTGGATCACGACCTGGGGGAGCTCGCGAGGGCGCAGGTGCTCTGGTGAGGCCCCGTCTGCCGCTGCATACGTGGGATGTTTTCCCCTGGGAACTGGGGCTTGATACGACATGATGTCCCTGGTGTAGAGATGTACCACGAGCGGGTTGTCAAGGGGGTGGCTCTCGCGCAGCCCTCGTTGGTCGCCACCTTCACGGTCGATGGTGACCATTATGCCGAGGGCCCGAGCCAGCAGAACGGTGACACGGCCGAGGTGAAGTGGGGTGCGCTGCCCAGAGACTCCCCTCCAGGGGAGTACGCGGCGAAGGTTTACAGATTGCAGTACCCGCCTAATGAGGCCACACTGGAGCAGCTGGAGCGGGGCTACAGTGAGCGGCTTGAATAACGAACACTTACTTTTCAAAAGGGGCTCGGTCGTTCCTTAGGTTTGCATGCGTTAGTCATCGTTCCTTATGCGATATTTATTATTTATCGTTCCTTGTGCGTTATTCCTTAGGATAAAGAAGGGGCTTCGTTCCTTATTTTTCGTTCATTAGGTCAATTAGGTCAGGCCGATGACTGTACCACGGCGACGTCCGCGGGCTGGAGCTCCCGCTCCCTCTCCTCGACGGCTCTCTGGTCGTCGGTGACGGCGTGGTGGCCATGCTGCCCGCGGGGATCGGCTCTGGCCCCCTCGGTGATCGGCTGGACCTGGAGGGCTACGCCGTGGACGACGGTAGGGGCCTGCACAACAAGTTCAGCGACGGAGGTCTGCGGAGGAGCCCCTTGGCCGACGCCGTCGATCAGCAGGTCGGTGACGAGCCTGAAGGTGGTGTGCTGGTGCGTGGCCAGCGTACGGCGTTTCCCCCATTGCGTTCCTGGCGCGACTCGGGGCTCATGGCGGTCACTCACCACGAGAGCTGTGTCCGAGCGGCGATGACCCCCATACAAGGACCGCTCGGACCTTGAGCTTGAGGTGATCGATCGGATCTTGGAGGCGTTTGGGACCGTGGACCAGGATAACGTGGGAGCGCTGCTGTCGGGCGAGCTGCCCGCGCGGCGGCTGAAGCTCATCGAGGGTGCTCTCCGCCGAACCAAGACTACCATGCAGCCTACATCTACGTGGCGCAGGCGACGAGGAGGAACGACGCTTCGTCCGTGCCAGAGCTCCAGAAGCACAGCGCCGACAGCCCGAAGGGTGAGTTCGCCGTCCAGAAGGAGAAGCGCAAAGGGAGAGAGGAGGCCAAGTTGCGGAAGTCAGGCAGGCGTCCCCCAGGCGGAACTGGGGGGAGCGAGGCATGACTTCTTCAGGCTGGAGGTTTCGGCCGCCCTCCAGCCGACAGCAGGCCTGAGAGCGGGGAGGTCCCGCCGCAGTTTTGACAGCACTGCCTGACCGACAGCGCGATGTCTTCCCGCTGCCGAAGTTCGAGGTGGCCGCACCCACGAGGCAAGGGGCTTCTGAGTGTATACGCCGACGGCTGGCCCGACGCCGTCGTCTCCAGATCCAGTGCAGTGAGGTGATTGACGGCATCAACTTGTTACACCCTACTGCGCCGCAGCACGGACCTGCCAACGCAGCCCAGAGGGGGGTTCATCGGGCCATTTTTTCCCAGGTGAAGGCTGCCCCACAAGCCGGCGCCGTGCGCGCCCGCCGCGAGGCCGCTCGTGAGCTTCTGGCTACCAACCTCTCGTACACAGGCGAGGAGGCTAAGAGTCCGGTTGTGCAGCATGACAGATCCCGAGTAGACCTTCCCAGAGTGGGATCGTCAGCGCCTCGGGTCGAGGCTGTGATCGACCCAATCGGGAGGGAGTATTTGCTGCACTACGAGGTGCACATGCTGCGCCCTGCTGATGAGTGGGCCAGGACCGTCGAGACCGAGCCCCCCATCACCCCGTACATGGACGAGTACTTGCGGAAGCACCAGGACGCCTACGTGTTGTTCGTGAGCGATATTGTGGCCGCGGGTGTGGTGTCCTTCACCGTCAACCCTAAGAACATGGTCACGCCGTCTTTTGCATCAAAGAAGAATGGCCAGCGGCGCCTGGTCTGGGGCGCCCGCATCCCCGACAGACGTTTCAAGCACGCGCCGCCTCAATGCATGGGTACCTCGGCGGTCTACGGGAGGAGCAACCTGGGGACCGACGTCGGCGACGACGGCAGTTTCACCGAGACGTTGTACTGCGCCCAGGCGGACATTCGCAACTATTTCTACGCGCTGGGGCTGAGGGAGGGCTCGGGCTTTTCTTTTCGCTCCCGCCGGTGCCTGAGGCGGTGTTGTCACAGTGGGGGTGTGAAGCCTTGGACTCGCCTCTGGCGGAGCGCGGGGGTTGGGCCCTTCCTCTCCGTGGTCCCGATGGGGTGGAACTGGGCGTTCTGGCTGGGGCAGTGCTGCAACGTCTTTCGATGTCTGCAGGCCGCCTCGGTCGGTCCTGAGCGCCTGCTCGCGGACCCTGGTCCAGTTCCAACTCTGGAGGGGGGCCTGCCGCGTCTGCTCCCTTATTGTGGTGACATTAACGTGGTCGGGACCGACCCGCGGCAGTGCGACCGCACGTTGGATGACAGAATCTCCAGCTGGACGTCCTTCGGCGTCGAGATTCAACAGGTCGTGAGAGCCCCAGCCACTTTCTCCAGCCCGGGCCGCCTGGTCGGCGGCGTGCAGGGGATGGTCTTCTCACTCCCAGAACGCGCGGAGAGGCTTAGCCGAGCCTGCCTTTGGCTTGAGAGCAGGCCGAGGGTCACAGGCAGAGAGGTCGATGGCTTTGTCTGGCACGTTATCGACCACATCATGCTTCGGAGAGAGCTGCTCTGTATCCTCAGGTCCCTCTATGACTTTGTCAGAACGTATTACAACGAGAGAAAGCGCCCGTGGCCCTCGGCGGCGGCAGAAGTGGCTCAGTGCCGGTGTCTGCTCCGCGCGATGTTCAGTAATTTGAGACTGCCGTGGAGCCTCGCGGCGGTGGCCAGTGACGCTTGTCTCAGCGGGATGGCCGTGGCAACAACCCACTTTCGTCTGTCAGTCGTCTCGTCCATCGGGAAAGTGAGTGAGGGGTGGAGGTATAGGGTGCCCATGGCATTCTCTGCGAGGAGGTCTGCTCTCGGGGCCGCGCTGGACACCAGCAGGGGCCCGTGCGAGGCCAACTTCAGCGAGTGCACCGCGGGGCTGGATGTCTGCGGGGACGTCGGCGCGGTCTTGGGTTGCAAGGGCCCCAGCCACGAGGAGGGCCCCTGGGAGCTCAATCCAGACTTCGAGGAGGTCCCGCACAGCGTGCTTGGCGAGGAGGCCTGTACCGAAGTGTTCGCGGCCCCGTTCCATGCATCGGAAAGCATCGCTGCGTTGGAGGGGGGGGGGGGGGGGGGGGGGGGGAAGTAACGCGGCCTCTAGGCACATCTGGCGGTCCACGAGGGCCTTCAGCAAGCGCCATCTGAAGCTGGGTGACAATCTGGGCGCCGCCATGGCGCTGTCTCGGGGCCGTTGCTTTGCTTTTGGTACGCTCCTGTGCTGCCGCCGTGAGGCGGCGTGCTCCGTCGCAGCCAATATTCGGCTCGAGAACCGCTGGGCCCCGTCGGAGTTCAATCGCTTGGACAAGGGTTCACGCCGGTGGGGGCGCGGTCGCGGAGACCGCGGTCCTGCGTCGAGCGCCCGCGCGCAGTGCGGGCCCAGCGCAGATTGCCCCGAGCGCGGAGCAGCGGCGCGGTCGCCTGTTCGGGGGCCGCACGCGCGTAGCAGGACCGTCGAGGAGAGCCGCTGCCGCGGGGGTGGTCCAGAAGGTCGCCGCGGGCGCCCAGTCCTTCCTGGAGGTGGACGCGCTCGCCCAAGAGACCCAGGGGATCTACGCGGAGCGCGGGGCAGTGCTCAGGCTGGTCGTCGCAACCATCCGCTTCTCTCTGAGGTCGCCGACGGCAGCCGACCTGGTGCTGACGAGCTACGCCGACTTCGCCTGGGCCTAGTGGCTCGACATCGGCGCGGTCCTGCGGGCGCGCGCGGCCCTCGCCTCGGAGGGCCTCGCCTTCTTTTCCCACGCGGTGGGCGCCGCCAGCCGCGGCGTTTGCAGGCGCCTCGGGCGGGGGAGTGGCTCGACCCATGGCGCCCCCGCCCGCCGAGTCCAGGGGCGACGATGGTCGCTCGAATCACCGAGGTCCTGATCGCGAGGGCCAAGCAGCCCATGGCGACGCTGCCGGTGCTCGCGATGTTCTTGGTGCGCCGTCGTGCGTCCGAGGCGGAGGGGCCCGTGGGGCTGGACTGGGCGCCGCCAGCTCGCCGACGAGTCGCTCCTGCTGGACCTCGCGCGGGCCCCGTGGCTAGGCGAAGCGCTCCAGAGCATGAAGGCGGGGCGGCTCGAGCGGCCGCTCTTCGGACCCGCGGGGCGCCAGCCCCTCGACGCCTGGAGCAGCGCGCTCAGGGCCCTCGGCGTCCCCTTCAAGTCCGCGCGGGCCCGAGAAGTTCCAGGCGGGCTCGATGGAGTGATGTTGGCGTGCCTAGGGAGGCAAAGGTGGCGCAGGCTGCCTGCAGGGTGCCTGCAGGGTGCCTGGTCAGCCTGCAGGGTGCCTGCAGGGTGCCTGCAGGGCGCCTGGTCAGCCCGACGCCCAAGGCCCTCCGCGCCGCTCCGGGCCGACGCCCGGCCTCGGCTCAGGCACCCCGCCTTTTGCCGTGCTCATGTGCGGCCCCGCCAACCTCGCAGCCGCAGTTGGCCAGTGTGGCCCATCGGCTGATGGGTGGGGCTACATCGACGGGGCGGCAGCCGACCTCGAAAGCCGCGTAGTGATTGATTTTTCCCGTGAGCGCATCCGCCAGAGAGAGCTGTGCGGTCTGCACTTCGGCCTAGATTGCAAGACGTGGTCCAGGGCCAGA